ATGTTGATGATTTAATAATGACTCAACTATAGCTTTTACCAGTAATTTTATGATCCTGGGGAAAAAACGCAAACCAGAGATTATCATTACTTATATTGTTGTAAAGTCATAATTATATTTTGCTTTATTTTTCTACTCTCATCCCTTTTTCTACTTTGTGTGAGTACTAGATCTCTCAGTTTAGTTGCGTATGCATTTTACGTATCAACTAATACCTAGAAAAAGTGATTTGTGATAATCTTGGAGATTGAATTTCTGTATAGAACACTTACTATCTTCCAAATTCCCCAGATAGAAAGATCTCCTAATCACTATTATTTTTATTGTGTGTGCCAGTAAGAAAGGAAGTTAGCCATTACTTTTTATGGTCTACCACAAATGTACTAAATATTAAATACATTATTTATTACAAATATTAAAATGTATATGAGGAGATACAAGTATGGCTTTCTGTGTTAAATGTTCATTTTCTTTTGATATATAAGTAAACTTCCTTGAAAAATCATTCCTCATTCACTTATTCTAATTATTAAAATCTGGCCTTTTAGATACTCACACAAATTTTTAATTTGTGTATAATGTGCTTTTTCTTTTCCTAACTAGTGTAGGTCAAAATATCATGTTTCTTTTACTTGGAAAAAATATAATGAATACCTTCTATTTACTGCTACTTTATCCCTCTTAACTAGTTCCAATCAAATGGTAGGCTAAAGAATTTTCTTATTGCAGATGATTAAATTGTGAAAATAATTTATTGCTGTTGTGGAATATAAAAATTGCTAAAATAATTTATGCAATGATTTTTTTTTTAACAAAATGATGTATGTCAGCATGAGTCCCATGTGGTTAAAGTGTGTTTGATTGACAAAATGAACTTTATTTGACAGTAAGATTCACTAGAGGAAATAAAGTTTAAATTGTTTAATCAGTGATTTTGTATTATTAGCTATCTGCTAATTTTTCTACATTATAAGGATTCTTTTTAATTTATATTTTATAATTTATATTTCTGGAGTTTACCCCCAATATGGTGAATGTGTAAAAATATTTCTTACTTAATGATAACTTGTGTACTCAGAAAAAAAAGTAAAAAAAATAAATTGGTAATCAGAATCTGGTTTGTATTATTTAAAAATAAAACCTTTCTGATTGAGTAATGTATGTTCATTATTATAGAAAAGTTGGAGAAGACAAAAATTAAGGAAATGAAAGTGGTACTCCAACATTTTTCTGTATTAGACTTGTTTGCATATTTTGTGAATGTGATAAGACATATAAAGAGCATATATTTACTGAAATAAAAATAAGATATAATTATGAAAAATTGGAAGCAAACAAGATATTCTTCACTAAGGGACTAGATAAACAAACGGATATATCCATATAATGGAATCATACAATGATAATAGTACATTAACCATCAAACAACAGAAAAACTCAGAAGAAACCTTAAATGAATGTTGAGTGAAAAAAATCCATTCTAGAAAGACTATATGTTGTATCATTCCAAATATATGACATTTTAGGAAAAAGCAAAAAACTCTGTAAATAGTCAAGGAAGATCAGTGGTTGCCAAGTTTGGGTGGAAAGAGAGATAAGGATGTATTGTTGGAACACAGCATTTTTACAGCAGTGAATTTATTCTATATGATACTCTAATGGTAGTACATGTCATAAAAGTCATTATTCATTTGCCAAACCCAGCAGAATATATAATATAAAAAATGAACTGTAATGTAAAATTGTGTGTTTTTTAAAAATTCAGTATAGTAGTCAATATGATACAACCAGACATATAAATTACCTGTGTAACATACTCTAGATCTCAGGATAAAATTTTATAGTAGAATTAAAATACCTAATAGACTGTTGCCTTTTTCATGATGACTGAAACATTTTCATTGATCTCCAACATAGTAGCCATTAGTCACATGTGGCTGTTAATCCTTGATATGTGACTAATGTTGTGAGAAGTTGTATTTTCAATTTTGCTTAATTGCATTAATTCAACTATTAATAGCCTTGTGTAGCTAGTGATTAAAATTTGAGGACAAACAAGATAGAGCAATGTCAACTGCTGATTAGTACAGTTAGATTGAGTTAGTATTTGATTGATATGGAGTTTGGTTTCTCTCTTGAAAGAGGTATTTTTGGAACACTAAGTAGGTTCATATTTGACTTTTAATGAATTCTTTAATATTGAATAGATTGAAATGGAATGAAACAAATCTTTTATAAATATTAAAAATTTATCTTTAAGTCTATTTTAGTGATTTAGCATTGTATTTGTTCAACATCGTTTTCTTTATTAATGTGTGAAGTAGATTTCAAATAGAATTAACGTGACCAGAATTGTGTCATACTTGTAAAAATTTTTTTCTCTGAATCTTTGAATTAACCCATAACCCAAGTATGTTTGTCATATTTCACAAATCCCTAATATATCTCTGCATGCCTCAGCTTGATGACAAATTTACAGTTCATATATAGGCCTGTGGCATCTTTCGCTTTCTCTCTTGTTCTTTTAACCAGCTTTCATAATATTTACGGTCTGATTTTCCACGTTATATTTCTTACAAACTTCTGTTACTTTGTCTACTGAGGATTACTTTAATGGGCCATAGTGGCTATAACAACATCTACCAGGTAAAGCATGCTACCTGTCAACCCATTGTGTCTTTAAATATCATATTCTTAAATTACAGTTGAGATAGTGAAAGGCAACTGCCTTTTCGTTGTTTGAGAACTGCATTCTTCTTTTTTAAACTCTGTACTTGGTGTCTGCTTTTGTACCTAGAGCTAACTTTCCCCTCTTTTTCTTTTCAGTTTGATAGCTTCTAGAACTTGTAAGTGCATAAAGCAGTGTTCCAGACAGCTGCACTTTTACAAACAGTCATTGTCAATGCCAAATTAGTTTGTAGTGCAAATCTTGAGTGAGAGCTGCACCTGCTCTCAGTGTAGATGAAAATGGCAAATGTTAGGGAAAGCATAATTTTGGGATTATTTTAAATCTGATGACAGCTGATCTCAGAATTCTTCTGGGGATTTTTCATCCTGGAGTAATGGAAACCCTTCTATTAAGAGCCAGCCGACTTACCTCTTTTGCTAGATCTTTTGCTAGGTGTGTTATAAAATAATTTTTATATTGTGATTGTGACCTGGAGTGTTGCCTTAAAATTTATTTCCCAAGTATACTGGTGGTATCCTAAAATTATGCTTTGGACTTAACAGTTATAACCAGAATACCTAATTTATGTGCAAAGACTACGTTTTAGTTTAAATAATCTGGAGTAGCTAACTTTTGTAAGAGTTAAATCTCTGAAAATGTTTCTTATGCACGAAATAGCTTAAAGAATTTGTGGTAAGAATTAAAACATTCCTTGAAAGTTCATAGGGTACAAAGGAAATTCTTGCTGTATGCAGAAAGCATTCCTATAAGTTTGTTTGGAGTGTGGATTTTTACATTTTCTGAACCTTGCTATTCCCTTAGCCTTAGGACTATGTCTGGCTAGCAACAGTTCCAAAACACTCACTTAAAAATGCTTACAGGAATATTATATTAAATCATATCATCCACAAGTAAGCAAATTTTTCTTACCTTTAGTATTTTCAGTCATTTTGGTTTATAATTTAAAAAATGAACTTCATTGATATACAGTTCACGTACTATACAGCTCACTCATTTAAAGTGATTTTTAGTATATAGATATGTGCAACCATTACTACAGTCAATTTTGGAGTATGTTCTTCACCTTTCTTAAAAGAAATCCTAAAACCTTAGCTACCATCCTCTCCCCCTGCACCTGATAAGTTTTATATTAGCTTAATTTAGAATCTCTTATGTGAAATTACATGTCAATTTCAGTGTCAAAAATAATTTTCTAGAAAATATTCAAAGGTAATGGCACCATATAGTGAAAAATTCTTTAGGTTTGAATTCAGGCACATATCAAGTCTCTACTACTGGTTGTGTTAACTTTGGACAATTTGTATAATTGTGTAAAGTTTAATTTTCAGTAAGTCCAGAAATAATGATAGTACTTCAATTTGAAACTATTGTTTGGAAGGTTTGATTAAATCAGTAAAGTGCTTATCATAGTACCTGGTGTACTATAAGTTCACAAAATAAGGACTGGTATAGTACAATTGATAGGAAGGAATCCTTATACCTTGTTTCTTTTATTGGTTTTATGTGTGGATAATGTTATCAAAATGATCAACAAAAAAATAAAATAATGTCTCTACATTCTACATAGATTCCCACTTTTAATACTGCTTTTATTCATATGGATTCTCTGAAAACAAATTTTGTCAAATTCTTCCCATACATAGAGCAGTATACTTCTCAATAGGAAAAAAAAATGTATCCTTGAATCATATTTGAGCAAATCTAAAAGCTTTCTTTATCAATTATTTTGTACAGTTATGTAATTGGAAGTCTATGAATCCTCAGCTGGTCCTCAGACTCTGAAACTCACTTAATCTTTGGCAGCCATTCTGCTTAGAATGGAATGCTGTCTCCCACCCTCCTATGCATGGAGAACATTATATAAAATTACTTAAAGATATTGCAGTACTATATTTTAAATTATAGATTTATTAAGCATTTAAAGCATCATCATTTTTTTTCTAAAATGATAGCTATTACACAATAAGTGTTAAAAAAAATACTCTGGACTTGATTTTGAAAAACCAGAACAGTATAGTAAAAAGAAAATTAATTTTAGAATTTCATTTGGTTATACCATATGTATAATACAAAGTGTAAGAATTTTTTTTTGTTACTTAGACATTTCTTTAATACATAAATGAAAATTATTTTGAAAGATTAAATCTTCTGATTTATATAATTATGGTTAGCCTTTATATAAAGCAAGTACTTTTCAGTTACTTAGTTTGAGTAGTACTTTGACCTTCCATTTCTATTGAATAGAGTGTTAAAAATTTGAAAACAGTTAACTGTAAAGTAACAAGCTGTTTTTATTTTCTGCTCTCATAAGCTGTTTGAACTGCTTGGACCTGATGGATTTGAACTTATTGAGAAGCTCCTCCAGAACAGAATTACAATTGTGGATAAATTTCTAAATTCTTCAAATGATCATAAGTTCCAGGCTCTTCAAGGTAAGAAAGTATTCAATGGTAATTCTAATTTAAAGGAGTTATTGGTTAGTGAATATTTTCTTAATATACTTTTAATATCTTGGTCTTACCACACAGTTTACTGATACCATTCTTTTAAGTGGATTCTAAATATGTCAGATTATGAAATAAATATAAATGAGCTAAAGCAAGATGTTATGCTAGAGATTCTATTTATGTTGAGTGTTGCATTTTATTTTATTGTAGAAGATTTGAATAGAAGATTTCTTCTTAAAAATAATACATGCCCCCCCCTGGTGGCACAGCAGGTTGGTTAGCTTCCCACTGCAAAGCTAAGCAAAGCTGAGGCTGCTTCAGTGCAAGTTAGATTCCCACCCCAGAGGTGACCCACATAGCGCAGTAGACATCTCCTGTCTCGCTACTGTGCCCTTCAGCAGTGTATTTTATCAATCTGCCTGCTCTGTTCACATTCTATTTCTGGTGAATACTCTCACTGCCCCTGCACCTCTGGCCTGTACCCCATTTCTGTATGCATAAATAAATAAAATCTTTTAAAAATAATAAGTATAGTACTTTTCTTATTTTATTTGTTTTGCTTCTTTATCATCCCCATGAGTGAAATCATATGGTATTTATCTTTCCCCTGACTTATTTCTTTTAAGCATAATTGCTTTGTTTCATCTGTTTTGTCACAAATGGCAAGACTGCTTTGTGGTTATAGCTGACTAGTATTCATATATATATATTCCACATCACATATTCCACTAGTATCCACATATATATATATATATATATGTATATTCGTGTTTGTATATGTGTGTATATATATATACATGTATATATAATAATGCATGTACATATACATATATAGGTAGATATACACACTACATCTTCTTCATCTGTTCATTTATCCCAAGACATTTAGGTTGTTTCTGTATCTTGGCTATTGTGAGTGGTGCTAGTATAAAAGTGTCTGTGTGTGTGTATCTATCTATCAAAGTAGATATAGATATATATAGTTCTATTTGTAACTTTTTTGAGAAACTCCCATACTGTTTTCCCACTATCCAAGAGTTTTCTTTTCTTCATGTCCTCTCCAGCATTTCTTTTCCTACTCTTTTCATAATTTTCAATGAGACAGTATCTCATTGTGGTTTTATTTGCATTTCCATAATGATAAACACTGATAAAAATCTGTTCATGTTTCTGTTAGCCATTTGTATTTCTTCTTTGGTGACATGCTTGTTTAGTACCTCTGTCTATTTCTTAATAGGGTTATTTGATTTTTTTGTTGTTGCTGAGTTGTATATGTTTTTATATATTTTGATATTAACCTAGAGATTTGGCTTACAACTATCCTCTCCCATCCAGTAGACTTGCTTGTCATTTCACTTCAGGAGCTTTTTAGATTGATACAGTCCTGCTTGTTTATTTTTGTTTGTGTTTCCCTTGTTACTGGAGTAGAATCCATAAAGTGATCATTATGATCAATGTTGAAGAACTTATCTATGTTTTCTTTAACATATTTTATAGTTAAAGACTTACATACAAGTCTTTAACCAATTTTCTATTATTTTGTACCCCTTTTTAAAATATATTATTGAAGCATATTAAGTTTTGGTGAGAGGAGAAAATGATTGCAATGAAGATTAAGTCATATCTGAAATTTATAAAGTGATGTTTTTTATATTTGTTTTGTAGACAATTGCAAAAAAATTTTAGGAGAAAATGCTAAGCCTAATTATGGTTGTCAAGTCACTATTCAGTCTGAACAAGAAAAACAGTTAATGAAACAGTATCGTCGTGAAGAAAAAAGAATTGCCAGGCGAGAAAAAAAGGCTGGAGACGACGGAGAAGTTTCTGAAGGACTGACATGCTTTGACCCAAAGGAACTGCGGATACAGAGGTAATAAAAATCAGAAGCTGAATAATGCTTGTGTTGTAATTACTGCTTGTGTGTATCATTATTTCTTAGTTTAGTTTTAGCAACTTAGATGAATTTTACTTCCAGTTATTGTCTTAGAAGAATAGAATTTTATTATTGTATGAAACCCTAATTTTCTGAGATAAGAAAGCAGTGATCTGCTTAATTGGAATATTCTTGGTTGCATTCATGTATGTGAGAGCTGTACATTATAAAGGTAAACTATTTTTAGGTACTGTACACACCCCACTAAGTTAAGATTTATGAAGCTTACATAAATTTATTTTGAGATTTGTTTTCTTGCTTAATGAATACTTTCCTCCATGTTATTTAGAATTAGAAGAGAAATTAAACAAAGGCATTATTACACTTGGTTTTATAATATTAAAACTCACTTTTAAAAGGAATTTATACCTTATTTAGCATCATTGATTGTGACAAACAGTTGATTGTGACAAAAATTAAAAGCAAAGAAGCAAACTCAGACCTATGAAATAGTGTTATTAAAAATGTATTGAACTCTATCTGGTTCACCAAAAAACTTGAGGATTGCTAATATCATCCCTTTCATAGCTTATAATTTCCTTTTTATATTGAAAGACTAGCTTAAGTAGTTTTGGTATATGCTTTGTTTTACAAGATAAGTGGTTTATATTTATTTTTGTATTTACAGAGAGCAAGCTCTTCTAAATGCTAGGAATGCTCCAATTCTGAGCAGGCATAGAGACATGGATTCTGAAAAAATACGTTATCCTCATGTTTATGACTCCCAGGCTGAAGCCATGAAAACATCAGCATTCATTGCTGGGGCAAAGGTATTTAATTTGTTGGATGTATGTCTCTTTTGAAGAAATGATACAACATTTTCTTTATACCTTTTGTGACTTATATAAAACAATTGTTTTATTTTTTAATTGTTCTCAGATTTTAATTTTTGAATTTTGTAGATGATTTTACCAGAAGGAATTCAAAGAGACAATAACAAGATATATGAGGAAATAAAGATTCCCTACAGTGAACCAATGCCAATTGGCTTTGAAGAAAAACCAGTGCATATCCAAGATTTAGATGAGGTGAGATGATTATGTAGTTAATATTTTTG